CCAGAATCCAGAATCAGTGTGGGGAATTCGACTTGGGCCCGAGCCTTGCTCAGCATTGTCAGTTAAGCTTCTGGTACAGCTCTCCTAGTGCCCTCATATCATTCCCCTGATCAAGCCTGTTCCAGCTGAAGACCCATGTCTTCAGTTAGATACAGGTCCAGCGTGGCTGATATGTTGCCAGTGTTGAGCTGTATAGCCTTGTGCACTGTACTAGACAGAATCTATATATATGAATCACCAACTGGAACCAAGTCCAAATAGTGGTTGGTTACTTGAGCGAAGAGGGCTTTGGACAGGATTGTTGACAGATTAGGATGAGATTGCATGTACTTTCTTATGGGGGACAATACATGGAGAAAGCCATCCAGTTTATAGGACAGTGAGCAATATTTCAATACTCTGATAGCTGATCATAAACCCACGAAACCTTTGGGAAATGCTGGCTCGAAATCAGATGTTTGTGACTCCGGCAAGCCTTGGAGGTCCTAGGTATGCAATCAGAGTATTAGAGTATTGAAACAGTGCTCACTGTCCTTACTCTGGATGATTTTCGCTGTGTATCATCTCCCATACGGCAGTACATGCAATCTCATCCTAATCTGTCAACAGTCCTGTCCAAAGCCCTCTTCACTCAAATGGCCAACCACTATTTGAACTTAGTATTATCAGTGTGAGATGAGGAAGAGTTATGCCAGCCAGCAGCGATTCCATCTTGTACTTGTCCGAGTCCCATGGAGTTTCCAAATTATTGTTATTGCGGCAGAGCAGATATTTTGATGTCATTGACCGCACATATAGCATGAGAGTGTCCGGGGGTGATCTGGAGCTGCAAGATTTGCCAAGAAACTTGAGAAGTTTGAGAACAAGAGTATCAGCTGTGAAGATGACCTCGCAAGAGAGGAAGAAGCCCTGATGGAGGAAGTCTTTCTCGATGCTGGGATGATGGGATAATGGATTGCTGTTAAAGTGATAGATGTCTTTCCTGTTCTGCCTGAGCCTACAATGTCCACATGATCCACTCTATGATTCACGATAAGGTTGACGACATTGTGGACCTCCCTAAAATGTCCGTAGAAGTTGGATGGTGCCGGAGGAAGGATAGAGATTGGACTATAATGTGTGTTTAGCTGCACTGATACCTTGAATGAAGGGACTGATGTGGTGGAGCTCAGGGTAGCAATTAGGGTGCCTTATGCACCTGTCAAACGAAATGGGATATGCAGCAAGAGCAAGACATACATTGGGCATAACAGCACTCCTCAAGTCATTAATAGACTTCCCTCGAGCAATCTGAAGGTTCCACTGATCCATCTGAAGAGTGGCCTAAACCAAACTAACATTAACTCTGAAACTGTCGAGCTTGAGACAATATATGTCATACTTAGAGCAGAGCCAATCTCCTTTCCACATTGGTTTTTAGTGGCGGTAATTTCTGAGTGTTTAGGCATGAGGTGAATTTCGTCAGTGGCCTTTAGAGTTGGTCTTGCAATGATCCCTGGTTACAATGATCTTCAAGGCAACTACATGATTCTGTCGGTCCAAAAACATCACAGGTTGGAGCAAGCACATACACCTCAAAATCTTTATAGGCTTTTTTAATTATTTCCGGTAGTTCTTCCTGTGTCATTCCTTTCTCCGTGCACTGTGTGCAAAAAGCCTCTCCAAGTGTATGGATCACCTGGACTTCGTGACTTCCTCGGGCACCGTTGAGATGGTGCCGAGATACGGCACATTCTGCACTGCGGAAGTTGCAGCTCTCGGGGTGACGACCGCTAACAGGACTGCACCTTTGGAAGTCTCGACAAGCTTCTTTTTCGGCTCCACACCTGTCAGGCAGGAGTGCAAGTCAGCATTGAACTAAACAACACTCGCGAGGACTTACGACTGTCACTGAGATTGCCTGAGCTAGAATCCGACATTACAGGGATCGAGGTATTGAGCAAGGGAGGGAGCGCGACGTGGCAGTTGATCGGACATCGCGCCGGAGTTTGAATATCTAACGTAACTAAGTCTGATCCGTCGTGCCGATGATATGTTTCTCACCGTGTCTCCACCGTACGGTTACGGGCGTACAGTTTACGGCGGCTACAACCGCAGTTAGCAGTTTTTCTTCTTTTCTTCTTGTTTTCGCTCTTAGTAGTAGTCTTACCTGCTATAATTCTTGCTTTTGGTTCATTCTCGCTGCGTCTCGCTTCACTCCGCTCCGCTTAGACGCAATCCTCCTCCTCTCTACCGCTGCGTCTCCTCTCCTCTCCCACTCCCAGCCGGCAGCGTCTTCTTGATCGGGTTCCAATACGATGTTGCTACGCCCGAATTCCCGCCGCCCTCAAGACATAATCCCTGTGCAACCGAGTACCCGCTGCGGCCGCGGATTACTTACACATCCTTCCTTCTCTCGCTTGCCTATCTAGTGCGAAGCCCTCTCCGCCTTCGCATCTCGGAAATCTCTTCACAATTCTAGATTGGCCGACTTCCTCGGCACTTTCCGTCCTGATTTTTTCATGAATTCAACCGACGAACTCCGCTGGGCCGATACATCGTGGACTAGAAACTTCGAATGCGTCATCTGACCAGCTTCGTCGCAAGCCCCAAACACCGATCTCTTCTCGCCGTCTCTTAGAATTCAGCTGCCGTGTACCTATTCATCTGCTGGTTCTGTTTTTTTTTCTTTCTGCAGCATCTTTCGTCCCAGTCCGAAGACGATACCTCTGTTGGAATTAACTGGATTCAGAGTTCCCTTCGAGCTGTTCATGTATGGCAACTGTCATCTGAGTTTGGCTCTTGTTGCACATCCGAAATTCGTAGCCCAGGTCAATAGAGTTCTCCGGGACGTTGCGATCAAGTCCTCTCGAGCGGTTGTGCATCTCCTTACGGTGTTTATACTTGGATGTGAACTCACTTTCCCTCAACTTGAATTAACTCTCCCACCAGATCTTCAGCCCAAGGTCCTCATCGGATTTCGCATAAGCTCGCCGTGGTGGGTCTCTGTGTCGAGCCCATCGTCCCGTCTCTAGATTCCCTCAATCCACCTATTCTCGCACGGTCGTTTCTTTTCGGGTTTCCAGACGCGAGCACACAAATTCCCAACCCTTTGTTCTCGCGCGTTGGAGTGCATGAATCTTTGAATTGCGGCTGCCTTCCCGGACGTTCCTTGCGTTACTGTTTCCTCTGCTGTCTTGTTGGTGTGCCTCGTCCGCATTTTGAGGCTACGCGCGAAAATAAACTTCCGGGCCGTTCCTACGACATTGAATATCCGAGCTGGTATACTTACTTCTTGCCTTGCTTTTGAATACAGCTGTGGGTTGCACCTGGCGATCCTGCCAACCTCGCATTTGCGCATCGCCGCTCGCTTTCGATGGCAGCGCCATCCACTGTATGATCGTCCACACCCGCCAATTCCCGAATTACGTTGAAGCGCGTCCAATCCGGGAGCAATCCGCCCTTGAAGAGGCACTCGGATCGTATTTTGTAACCCAAAATCGGGAGTTCAGTCTAGTTCCACTCTCCGGTTGCTCCCACAGACTCTGGTCAAATCAAATATCACTACGCAGAAGTCCTGCCTTGACTGCTCGCTGGGAGAATTGTGGCAGGCTTACTAGTATACCTCCGTATACCCCGAAGGTGATCCTGAATTCTGGATACGTTTGCTGGCGGCCCCACGGGGATTATGTGAACCAGGATTGTACAGTCTTTACCAAATCCGGGTTACTTGCGACCCTGCATTGCTGAGGTTGCGTTGAATAATTGTGGCTGCCATTCCCTGGCCTTTATACCGCGGGATCCATATGGGGAGTGGGGTAAATGCTTATGACAGTGGACAGAGCCGCAACTTTCATTGAATCCCGTTACTGTGTTAGCGCACTTTCCACAGTCTGTACATTATGAATCAGGACCACAGCGGAAAACCTAACTGTCTGTTACACGCCGATATTGCCGTGCAATGCACCAACTACGTCGGCCGAGAAGAAATAGCCCATATCAATTCCAAACGGTGTAGAACCCTGTTGATTCGAAGATTAGTCGGGCGGCAGAGCGGGATCGCTCTGAGTTAATAGAGAGTTTGCGCAACAGCCATATGAGCCATCAGATGGCTTTTGTGCAGTGCGCGCCGTATGGCTAATGGCTTATAGGGCTGGGGATATAATACCATGTTTCTCCTCAAAAATGTTTGTCATTGTTAAAAATGACATGTTCTCTCTCAAAAACAAATTACCTAACCATCACACTCATGATCATCTACTACAGTGAATATGACCAGGGAATTGAAATTTCCAGCGAGAATTGTGGCTCTCCAACCACGAACATTGCAACGACAGTGTTATGCACCATATATGACCAGAATACATACAAAGTAAGCTCAATAAGTGAACTGTTCCAAAGGTCATGCCGTCTGAAAGCCATATGGTGCGCACAGCAAAAAGCCATCAGATGGCTCATATGGCTGTTGCGCAAACAGGTTAATCAATAATATATCATGGCTCGGGGAGGAAACGGATCTGAGTATAGATGGAGTTTGGATTCAACAGAGGTCTCACCGGGAGACCGAGGTGGTATATGAATCTACTAGGCAATGAGGTGAAATATAAATGGAGACCCAGGTCACATCAGTTGCTAGACGCCGCAAAAGCGGAAGTGCATGGCTCCCTGGACCCACTTCACAGAATCCCCGTGTGTGCCTGGAAAGCATACCCAGAATCCAGAATCCACCTTGGTGACTTGGTGGGTGTGGCCTGGTGTGGCCTTTTTCTAGAATCGTAGCCAGTCTGCCTACAATTGAATAGCACCAGTCTGCCTACAGCAAAGTGCCACATATTTGCCACTCGTAGGCAGACCGGTTACGAGCCAAGCCTTTTTCTTTCTCGCTGCGCTGCGAGTTTGGGGTTTTGAACCAGAGTTCTGGGTTCAGATGTGCGTTGTAAAATAAATTCATCACTTTTCAGGTTGAATTTACCGGGGGCAAAATCTCGCTGGTAAGTTACGCAGCAAAGGGAGCATGCAACGGCTCGGTGGTGGATGGTCCACACCTGCTCTCCGTGACGGGAATCGCCGGAAATTTCGCAGGAGACGCCCGTTCGACTCGGGCCCGGGCCATAACGCCTGCTAGAACCTTTTTTTCCCGTTTGGTGCGCGGCGAGTTTGCGGTTTCGAACCAGAGTTCTGAGTTCAGATGTGCGTTGTAAAATAAATTCATCACTTTTCAGGTTGAATTTACCGGGGGCAAAATCTCGCTGGTAAGTTGCGCAGCAAAGGGAGCATGCAACGGCTCGGTGGTGGGCGGTCCACGCCTGCTCTCTATAGATTTCCAAGATGATTGCGGTAGGAGCGCCCGTTCGACTCGGGCCCGGGCCATGAGTTGGACGAAATAGTTTTTCGTTTGATGTGCTGCGAGTTTAGTGTCTTGGTGCATGGTTGCTCATTGAAACAGAAATTTGTCGGTTTTCAGGTTTCAGGTGGATGTGAATTCATCGTGCTCAGAATCTCACTGCTAAGTTGCGCAACAAACGGCGTGAATACGGCTCTGTGGTGGGCATCACGCCTGCTCTCCTTGAGAATAGCATTGCCGAAGATTAACGCAGGAGTTGCCCGTTCGAGTCGGGCCTGAGCCATTGGCGCCAATTGTGACATTTTTTCTTCGTTTGAGGAGACACTCAGACGCTGGACGTCGATGTAAGCTATTATGTCCGAGCACCGCTAAAGCCCAGGCGCTGCGCTGTAAGCAAAAGCAACCCGCCGGAGACGTGTTGGAATGTCAGATGGTCGAATAAATCTATCTCACCGGTAAGTTCAGGCAGCAAACGACGTGAATACGGCTCGGTACTGGAGAGTCCACACCTGCTCTCCGTGACGGGAATCGCTGGAAATTCCGCAGGAGACGCCCGTTCGACTCGGGCCCGGGCCATAACGCCTGCCAGAACCTTTTTTTCATTTGGTGCGCGGCGAGTTTGCGGTTTCGAACCAGAGTTCTGTGTTCAGATGTGCGTTGCAAAATAAATTCATCACTTTTCAGGTTGAATTTACCGGGGGCACAATCTCGCTGGCAAGTTGCGCAGCAAAGGGAGCATGCAACGGCTCGGTGGTGGATGGTCCAAGCCTGCGCTCCATATGACGACGTGAGACTTGCGGTGGGAGGAACGCCTGTTCGACTCGGGCCCGAGCCATGGGATGATGCGCCTGATTTTTCTTTTCGTTTGGTGCGCAGCGAGTTTTGGGTTTCGGACTAGAATTTTGCTGTACGTTGTGCGTTGAAAAAGAAATATAGTTTCCTGCTTGTAAGTTGTATAGTGCCATGTGGATGTGAATTTATCGGCTGAGAAAGTCACAGGTGAGTTGCGCAGCAAGGGGAGCATGCAACGGCTCGGTGGTGGATGCAGGTGGATGGTCCACGAGCGCGGTCTATAAAACGTTGCTTTGGGAAATCAGTGTGCAGGAGATGCCCGTTCGACTCGGGCCCGAGCCATAAGCCCTCCCAAGGCAATTTTTTAGTTTCCTGCGCCGCGAGCGGTGGGTTTTGAACCAGAGTGGTGAAACGGTGTTGGCTGAAAAATGACGCACACTGAGTTTCAGGGGAGGCGAATGTTAGCAGCTTAGAAACTTACTGGTATGTTACGCAGCAAAAGGGGTGTGCAACGGCTCGGTGGTGGAATGACCACACCTGCTCTCCATCAGGTATTGCAGAAGGTTTGCGCAGGAGATGCCCGTTCGACTCGGGCCCAAGCCATAGTCGATAAATGTGTTCATTTTTTTAATTCCTTTGAAAGAGACGTCCTGGCGTTGGAGGCTATTACTTCCGAGCGCCGAAATGAGGTGCAAACAAAAAACAAAGGTGATCCGCCAGAGATTGGTTGGAATGTGATAAATCTCACCGGGAAAGGAGGGAGCGAAGAAGGCATATACGGCTTGGTGGTGGGGGTCCACGCCTGCGCTCCATACATACATCATCGTGCTTTGAGGGAGGAACACCCGTTCGAATCGGGCCCGAGCCATTGTACTCCGGGGTCTTTTTCTTGCTTGCCAGGTCCCGAGAGCGCGAGACCGGATGAGAAGCACAAATTGAACCCATTCAACACCCACCGGCGTTAATCGAGCTCGGGATAAAAATTGTGTCCGAACACGCCATGGCCCAGTTGTCCAGGAATAGCGCAAGATTAATTGTGCAGCCGCAGGAGGTTACGGAGGGTTACGGGGTACGTATCCGAACGACGCCAGACGGAAATAAACTCCAAGAATGAATGGGTCACCCACGCGTCATGCCCGTGCGCGGATCCCACGCGGCTCTTGCGCGGCTCGGAACAGGTCGCCGTCGGAGCGATTCGGAGGTCGTCCGGCGACGTCCGGAATTGGTGAGGGTCCAGTAGCTGGGCACCAGGACTCCGACTCGTGGATCTTGCGTCGACCTCCTCGGAGGACATCAGGCTAAAAAGCTGTGAAGCTGTAGACCCGAGTCCGTGCATGGGCACTTGAGTCAACAGCTAGTGCACCGCCACTCCCGATACGGAGATATACAGCCATCACACGCCAATCCACAAATAGGATCTGCGGTCACAGCGTCACGCATCACATTCTAGCTCCTTCCTTCCGTCCTTCATGCACGCCGCAGTCGCCCTCGCGCTCCTCTGCTGCGCGGCCAGCGTCGCCGCGCAGAACAGCGACGACAACAGGCGCCGCACCCCCAGCGCCGCGGCCGTGGGCTTCGTCGTCGGTAAGCACTTTGGGTATGTCGTGTGAGAGTTGGAGCTGATTTTTTCTCTGTCTTCTCTCGCTTGCTTTTGCCTTCGTTTTGTCTAATCCCTTGCTCGGTCGGACTCCCCTGCTCTGCACCAACTCTCCCAACACCTCGTCAACTCGCTCCCCGTTTTTATTCGACTCTGCGGGAATTGCTGTGGAGCAGCCGCGATCCTCCTCTTCCTCCTCTGCTGCTGCGTGCAGCGCCGCCGCATCCGGCGCCAAGCGACCGTCATGATCCGCCCGCCCCTCCCGCTGCACACCCCCAGCAGCTTCCCGCACGGCATGCAGTATGGTCCTCCCTCGCCCTTCGCGCCGCCGCCCGGCGCAAGCCCGTACGTCCCCGGCACGACCGAGTACCCGCCCGCGGGCGCAGCGGACTTTGCGCCGCCGCCGTACGTCAAGGAGGGGGCCGAGGGCGCGAAGTACGCGCCGGTGCGTTATCGTGCTTATTATGGTGCTGCGATCTGATTTACTTTTGTCGTGGAATAGCCGCCAGGCCCGCCGCCGCTGCCGCCGCCGGGTATCGATGCGCCTTATGTGTATACTCCGGTACGTCGCGGTGTACTTGTCCTTCCGCGGCACGATGTCTAACAGCAATGCGCAGCCCCCCGGCCCCCCGCCCCGAGCGCACATCTCCGTCCGTCTCCCCCTTGCGTCTCCTTCTCCCAGCTTCTACTAACATCGCTCGTCATCGCAGTCCAACTCGAACGACTTCAACGGTGGCTTCCGCCCCCCCGCCTCGTGATCCCGCTTCGACCCTGTACGCGCACTCGGATGATGTATTTGTATTCTCGCGCCTTCGATATGTGTATCCCGTTGGAATCTATGCGTTGCGTCATCTGGACTAGGCGCAGGTTCCCTTGAGCGCGGTCTCGGCTGGAGTGCGTTCTCGTTCTGGGGTTCGTTGCTCGCCGTCGATGCCAGCCGCGCAAAATCCGCAGCACACTGCTGCCGCGCACAACACACGTCGTCGCCGCGTGTCGTTACATTCCATCCGTCCGCCGCGTGTCGTTGCATTCCGTCCGTCTGCACTGCTGCTTCTCCGACAGATCGCCGCGGTTCGCCTACATGCCGTTGTGTACATCCGGGCATCGCCTCGTTCGCGGTTTGCTCCCGTCGAATTAACCCCACAGCTCTCCTCAGCAGCGGCTCGGTGCATGCGGCTGCACCGTATACCAAGTCTTCAGTTACGTCCACGCAGCAGACGCCCGTTCGACTCGGGCCCGGGCCATTCGTTACATTCCCGCCATGTTTTTTCTTGTTCTACCGGGGCGGTTTTGCTTTTGTGTTCCTGTGCTCGAGTAGGCGGAGGACGTTGTCGCTTTGCAAAACCCCGGCCTTCCGAGCAGCCCGACTTCGACTTCAGGCTTTGGTGTTTCTTGGAGGTACTGTTAATACTTTCAGCGGCTCGGTGGCAGAGTCCTATGCGGTTGCCAATTTATGTGGGACTAGCGACGCGTTTAGGCAGCAGACACCCGTTCGACTCGGGCCCGGGCCATGCCTCGAGGCGATCGCGCTTTTTCTTGCGCGGACTCGTCCTTTTTATCTGCGCGGTTCAGATTCTGTGTTCTGTTCCTGTGCTCGGGTAAGAGGAGGACCTCCGTGTGTCCTCTAGAGAATCCCGCGCTATCCGATTTTTTTTATTACTCTGCCTTGGTGTGCCTTTGGGGTGCCTCTGAGTAACCTTGCAGTTTGCAGGGTTCTTGAGCACCGGCTCAGTGGCAGAGGGTTATGCAGCTGCGCCTTTTGTGAGTGGACAAAGAAGCGTTAAGCAGCAGACGCCCGTTCGAGTCGGGCCCGAGCCATGCGAAGTCAGGTGCATGTTTCTTTTTCATCGAGCGGGCCCGCTGTTTTTGTGTTCTGCGTCTGCACTCCGTGCACAAGGAACACTGGTGCGGGCGATTCGGGTCCAGGAGTTCTGCGCCGAGTATCCATACTGAGGTGCGACATTGATTCTGGGACAGCAATGATCCCTCGTAATTAACTGGTCTTGCAGGGTTCGGTGGCAGAGTGTCATGCAGCTGCACCTTGTGGGACCAGCGAAGCCTTTAGACAGCAGACACCCGTCCGAGTCGGGCCCAGGCCATTCTCTGATGCGACGCTTTTTCTTGCATTGGCTCCTCCTTTTTTTATTTACGCGCTTTCATCTTCTGTTTCCGTGCTCGAGTGATTTGCTCTGAAGAATCCCGCGCTGCACGCCTCCATCCGTGCATGTCCGAATTTTTTATTGCTCTGCCTTGGTGTGTCTTGTGGGTACTGTTGATTGACCTGTGCCGGAGTTCTCTCCGAATCTGTCTTGTGGGTGCCGTTAGCTGACCTTGCAGAGTTGTCGAGAATCGGCTCGGTGGCAGAGGGTATGCAGCTGC